CCCTCCCCAGCCCCCAGCAGCTCTCTGAAAGCCTCCATAAGGGTATGCATGGCCATTTTGGTGAAGGGGCGGGGCTTTGGGAGGCAAGAAATGCTGTATTCGGTGTATAAGACACACCCAGATTTTCAGCCTCTTTTTTTGAGGGAAAAGGGTGCGTCTTATACTCCAAAAAAATACGGTATTTATGAAAGACTGTCAGAACAAAGTCTATTACAATTTCTTTGAAAAACAATTTAAATAAAATAGTAAATCAGGGATGGCAACATTTTCAGCATTGTTCTACACAGGCGCTACTTTTCCAGCAGTTTTACATGATTATTTAAAAAATATAGAAATAAGATATGGATCTAAGGCTGGATACATAGCAATATGATATACATATGTGTGAACAAATATTATCCAACTTCTGCTCTACCTTTTTTTTATTTAAAAAACTGAAATTTTGTCAGGCACATAGTTCAATTAAGCGGATTTATTGCTAAAGTCATTACACAGGAATGTTTTCTAGTAATGATCAACACCTAGCTAGAGTTAGATAAGAGCTAACTGCACTCAAGAGAGGTTTGGACTTAGTTCACTTGTGGCCACTTAACTATTCTAGCCTGATCCTCTTTTCAGTCTGCTCCCAGGTTCTACCATTCCTTCTCCTACAAATTTGGCCAATAGCAAAACATAGCACATCTCATTTTTATTTCTAAGAATACCAACTATTGTTTTAGTATATCCTCTTAGAAAAACAAATATTAAAGGGACACAATCATCTTGGGGGGGGGGGGGGTGCTCATCCATCTACAAAATTGTGACTTACAATGAAAGAAAAAAGAATCCAATATGACTAGCAGTAAAACCTCAAATTCCACTTTATTAGGTTTCTTAACAAAATATTTAAGATTTAGGGCGACATTTGTAAATATAATACTCTAATCAGCATTTAAGAGCTCATTGTGCTAAATAAAGTAATAAAGTTAAGCTAAAGAAAATACTAAGAATTCAGCATGACTAATCCCACAAGATAATATTACATTATATTTTAGTAATAAAATTAATATAGATCTTAAAATACTTTCAAATTATTTGAATATAAAAATAAATCTATGTGCACTTTTAAAAATAATATATATAAGTACTAAGCTTCTTATCCTAAATCTGCCTCGGTAATAACACTAAACTGTACATTTCCTCAAAGTGCAGCTTTTGCATATACTATATACATTTCAGCTCATTCATCAATATTTATAGCTATCAAGTCAAAAGCTGAACAGTACTGTGAATGGTACTGTTAGTATATATTTGCTAGGAGTATTAAAGCAATTGTTTCATAGCAAAATTTAATGAACAGTTGGTTTTAAACAGATGCATATACATTCAATTCTAAGTGATTAAATGTACACTGAAGGAAAATACCACTTACTTTAGGTCTGAAATTGGTGGTTGGTCCCACATATTCATGTTGGGCTTTTAAAGTTCCCCAGGGATGGTGTATTTTGAAGCATTCGTTGCAATAACTTGCACCACAATCCATGCAGCTCTTTGTGGATTCTTGTGCTGGAGGTTTACATAGATCACACATAATAGCTGTGGCTGCCCTCGCTGCCTGCCTGTACCGTTCTACAATAGTTTCCAATGTGACATTTCGAAATAGGCCACTGATCCCACGTTCGCCAAGATCTACATCATGCCGGCATCCTGGGCAAGGGAAGGTTGTTGTCCTAGGAGTTAATGAATTGCGTTTCCAACCTGAATAGATGGTAGGATCTGGTTTAATTACAATGCAATGAAACATGTTTTATCTTTTCAAGAGATGAAGAAATGCTAAAATACTGGATTGCATTTTTAAAAAATTAATGTATATTATAGGCAGATACTAAATTAGTGCCACAGAGTACTATTATTAAACAACTTTACAACTTATTAAATATCTCAAATGAACCATGTAACCTTAACGTGGAAAATTACACTAATTACTTTATAAATGGACAATCTATGAATAAAATATTGGAATGAATACATATAGAATATAGTAATAACCATAATAGAAAATAGTGTAATTTAAATGAGAAAGATTATATAATGGGAAGGCTTTGTTCAGATCCTTCCTTATCTGGAAACTCACAATAGTTTTTTGCAGTCTAGAGTCTCCCAACCCAATCTGTAGCAAATGTTTTTAATAAAGTACCTGATTCCAGTAATGTTGTGGACCAGAAACAGGGAAAGAAAGAAATCAACCGAGGAAGAAGGCGGGGCTTAGCAGTGAGAAGACGGATTTTCAGGCTATTCCTGAAATTCCCCTATTCCGAAGGAATTGGACGGTTCAT